ACATGTTCCTGTTTTTAGTTTTCTACATTCGCCTTAGAATCTAGCTGTTTTTGTTACTTTTTTTGCATCTTATTTATATTAAAAAAAAAATCTGTATGCCTTTTTATAACCGTCTATTGTTGTCGCTGTTGTCCATTGTTGTCATCTTTGTTGAAACCAGGTCTCTCTTGTAAAAGAGTCCTCGAGGCTCAATGGGATTTACCTGTCTAAATAAAGGTTGAATGAAAAAAGATCTGTGTGGAGGAATGGGCCAAAATCTCTGCTGCGGTGTGAGCAAACCTGGTGAAACACTACAGGAAACCTTTGACCTCTGTAACTGCAAACAAAGGCTACTGTACCAAATATTAACATTGATTTTCACAGGTGTTCAAATACTTATTTGCAGCAGTAACACACAAATAAATGATTTAAAAAATCTTACATTGTGATTACCAGATTAAAAAAAAAATTAGATTATGTCTCTCACAGTGGACATGCACCTAAGATGAAAATTTCAGACCCCTCCATGATTTCTAAGTGGGAGAACTTGCAAAGTCGCAGGGTGTTCAAATACTTATTTTCCTCACTGTATATAAATACCAAAATGAATATAACATAGCTACTTTGCAGATTTTCATTTACTGCGGGGGGATCCCGAACCAAACTCCCGCAGTAAACAAGGGACTACTGTACTAGTATATCCCAAAATACCAAGCTATAGTTTTGAATATCATCCATTAAAACTCTGCTGCCAATTTTATCCAGGAAAGTAATGTTTAAAATATAAAACAAACCCTTAAAATGCAGTCAAATATGTGAAAATCACAAGACGACATCTTTCCAGGTCACACGGTAAACTGGTGTGACTGGAAAAAGGCCAGTGGTATCAGAAATGAATTCTGTCAACATTAAGAATCAGTCATAACACTGGAGGAAAAATATCCAACCACACCTTAAAATGTCTCCATTCTTCTCCGGACCGTCGTCGTCTCCGTCCCCACTCAGCTCCAGATCTTCTTCTGGATCGATGTCCGGTTCTGGCGTAGGAGGCGGCAGCAGCTCGTCTTGATTCCTTGGGCTCTCCACCTCCACCTTCGGCTGCTCCTCTGGCTTTTCTTTCTTCATCCTCCGCCCCCTTTTAGGAGTAGGCGGAGAAAGAGGCGGCGATGGGCTCTTCACTCGGGACATCATCGGGGGTGTGGAGAGCTTCGCTGGAGGCTGTGGTAAGCTCGGCGCCTTCTTGGAGGCTGCAGGCTGCGCTGAAGGAGGCGGTGAGAGCGAGAGGGAGAAGGAGACGCTGCCCGTGCTCGAGCGCGTCGCAGTCGATTCCCTCTCTCTGGAGAAGAGGGGAGGTGGAGTCGGGGCGGAGGGAGACTGCTGAGGGACGGCAAAGGAATGGCTGTGGGGGGCAGCAGTGGAAGAAGATGAGGGGTGTGCAGCGTTGCCGTTTGAGGAGCTGTGGAGGTGTGCCAGCTCCATGGCCGTTCTGACCTCCGGCTGGTTGGCGTGGTATTTCTCCAGGTGGCGTGCCAGAGAGCGAAAGTGTCGTCCGCAGTACGGGCAGTGCTGCCGGCGGCTCACCGCCGCACCACTGGAGCCGCCAATGTTTATGTTGATGTTATTGTTGATGTTAGTGGTGGGAGGAGCCAGGGTGTTGGCCGGGGGCTGGGATCGAGCTGGGGGCGCGACAGGCGCCGAGCGGGAAAAGGAGGAGCAGGGGCGCCCGGGCCCCCTGGGGGAGGCGGGCACGCTTTTCTTCTTCGAATTCACCACCGCGGGCAGCTTGCGCTTCTTGCGACGGCGAAGCATCCGGCCCCTTATCTCGTCGATTTCCTCCTCTTCGTCATCATCGTCGTCATCGTCATCTTCCTCCTCCTCGTCCTCCTCTCGGTCCGAGTCGCTGGGCTCGGAGTGGGTGAGGGGGGAGGATGAGGGTGACAACGACCAGGAGGGGGTCAGGTAATCGGAGACGGAGAGGGACAGCGGATGAGGGCCGGCCTCTTCCTCCTGATACAAAACAATTTCAAAATTAAAGACGTAAAATGAAGATCACGCTTCATGTACACAAATTTATTTTAATGACATTTAAAATTGGAGATGGAAGTTCATCAAACAAGTTGAATAGTTTCCAAATATGACCGTTGCAATCGAAGTGGTCCAGCTTGTGTTTGCGTGTGTTGATAGACAGCAAACTGTATTGGTTCACTGCGTTGTTGTGACTCCTGTCAAAAGTACAAAATGTACAAAATGTCTCACTAATAATCAGCTAATTGTTTATCCTGTGCTCATCAATATGTTGTAATATTTGTCACCGAGTACAAACCAATCTTTTATTTACCAAAAATGGAATCAGAACAGCAGTCTGAACAGACTGAAGATGTTCCGGAGGGCGACACCTGCCATTTTGTAAGACTTCATTTATTTTCGTGTATTCGTAGCGAGTCTATCTTTTATTAACTGCATAGTTACACACGCGACTCGCTTTGTGCATGATGAGGCAAACACTCGTTTAGCACCTTCCAAGTAGCTACAAAGGCTAACCATATTACATCAGCTAGCTGTATGCTTTAAGACAGTGGTTCTCAAATTGGGGTCCCTGGACCCCCAGGTGTCCGCGAGCCAGTGCTTGGGGGTCCGCATTTTTTTTTTTTTTTACAAGCATGTAGATGTTTAAATACTTGTTAAAATACACCAAAATGCAGGAAATCACATACTTTATTCAAAATTCTCTAGGGGAGGACCCTGCCCTAGGCCTGTCTCAATAAACAATAAATCAATAAATCAATAAATCAATTAATCGCATGATAAATGAAAATTATCAACCTCATTTTCATTTATCGATTTATCGTTTCTTCGTGTCGCTCTCTTTCTACTGAAGACACCGGATGACCAAAAGGCTCAACTCTGGAGCTCTTCACTGACCCCTCCCTTACTCTTTTTTCTCTTTTCTGTAAAATCTGTCTGAACCGCCCAAAATTGCATTTTTGGATCGTTAAAAGCAGCTAAGCGGAGAAGCTAAGCTAACAGGGCGACCTCGGGAAAAAAACCTCCGTCTTGTCGAAGCTCCAAAATTCACGGATGAAACCCGTGCCTTTGTGTAAAAAGTTGTTTTTCTCTGCAAAAAGAAGCCGAGAACTTGTTTACTGATATTTTATTAAAAGAAGGGCTGGGCAATATACTGAAAATTAACCGACACCAAAATTTATAACAATGATCGACGCCATTTTGCCCATGTCTGTATTTTCGGTGTTTTAAAAAAAGAAAAAGAAAAGTCGTTTTGTCTTTTGGCTGTGTATAGGTAATCTATGCTCATGTCCCTTTAAGACGCTGCGCTACTGCAGTCTGTAGTCACGTGACTCCACCCCATCTAGTCTGTAACAAGAAGTGAAAGAGACGGTGCGGTTACGAAAATGGAGAAAATTTCGAATGTTGAAGTGGCAGCAGCAGCGGCAGAGCTGGTCCAGGAGGAAGAGGAGCTGTTAATCCCCCCCCCCCCAAAAAAAGCGTCATCAGTCGTCTGGCAACATTTTGGGCTCAGAAAAGACGATATTGAACCAAAAAAAAAGCCAAGTGTAAACTATGCCAAGAGACTGTTGCGACAAGCCATGGCAATACATTCAACCTCTTCCAGTTGTTATTTTATACTTCTAAATGTGCTCACTTGTGCTTATTTGTTCAAAAACTATTAACAACTAAATGTACACATTTTCTTCATTTATTTGCAAAAGCTGTAGTTTCAAAGTTCATTAACGTGGCAATAAAATGGGAATTATGCCATCATTATAACTGGCTGTGAATTATTTACGGCGGCCTATCACATTAATTTCGGGGGTTGCAGTTATCGTCCATTTATCGTTAGAGGTGAACTGCTCAATATATTGTGATATTGATTTTAGGCCATATCGCCCAGCCCAAATCAAACGCTTTGTGTGAAAAATGCTATGCTAAAGAGCTCAAACCACAACGAGCGTCCGCCATTTTGAGAACCGAAAAAAGGAGTGAGAGACAACCCATGTCACGTCAAGGGGCCTCCCTCCCATTTTTCTTAAAGAGACGCTGCTCGTTCCCAAATGGTTCAAATTGTCTTATACTACCATCCAGTGGTCAAAAAAGGTACTACACACAAATTAACCAACATTTCTTCTTAAATTTGACAAAAAATACTAATTAGTGTCAAATTTCAAACAATATTATCATTTATCGCAATAATTTCTGAGACAATTAATCGCACAACAAAATTTGTTATCGTGACAGGCCTACCCTGCCCCCCCATACGCGCTGTTGCATTTTTACACCATATTTTGCCACACCTTGGCCTCGAAGAAGAGTATGCTACGCCAAAAACGTAAACTTTTGAAGGGAGGGGGCATGTCTATGCCCTTGCCCTTCAAAGCTTATGTTGCAAAAATGCAACAGCACCTCCTATGGTCACAATATATGGTGGTCACAGAATATGGTGCAACACTGGCATGAATCTTGAATTACTGAATCACATGAATCACTGGCATGCTCTTGAATGAAAAATACCCCATGTTTAAAAGTATAAAAATTGTATTAACACTATTAAAGAACAGGTCTTAAGTATTTATGTTACACAAATATTTCCATTGCGTTAAAGAGACAAACTGAAGAAAATTATTTAATAAACATGAGGGTTATGAGGGGGTCCCTGAACCCAAAAAGTTTGAGAACCCTGGTCTAAGAGTCCAGTACGTTTGATTTGTTCCCTTATATAATAAAACATTTTATGAACCAAGTCTGGCAAATCATCTGTTTATTTAATGCAAGTTGTAAAAGTATTTTCTCAAAAAAAAAAAAAAACCTTGAACATTTTTCAATCTACAAACCCCATTTTCTTGCTAAAATGCTGTGAGAGTTTAGAAATTTCTCCACTAATAACTGGTTGCTTCACACTGATTTTTGCCCAAACAAAACAACAGCACCAATCAAACTTGCTGTTCAGAAATTAAAACAATGGAGATCATGAACAGAAAGACTTCAGCTGCAGGAACAATAATTAAGAAGCATCAGTGAATATGATCAGTTTAATGTCTGGTTCCTTCAACGGTCAGAAAGACACAGAACAGCCCCACCAGCTGTTTATTTATCCAGTTTACCATGAGGTCAGTAGCTCACCAGCGCGTTCTCTCCCCAGTCCGTCAGGCTGTAGTCCACCGTGATCTCCTCTCCTTTTGCGATGTCTCGAATCGCTATGACGACCAACCGCACCTGCGTCCCACAGTGGACTTCTCGAATGCGGCAGTTGGGAGGCGGATGGAAAAGCACGGGACCTCGGACACCGCTGGCCCCGTCCTCCCCCAACTCAGGGACGCTGGAAAACACAAAGTGAGTTTAGCAACGCGGTTCCCCTCCAGCTGAAACTTCAAGCAAACTGGAGGGGGTCCATCTAACCAGAGCTGTGTGGGATCAGGTAGGTAGTAGGGACTCCCAGGTGGGGGGAGGTGGTCGTCTGCACCTTCTGGGTACTGGCCATCCCCTGCAGTAAATTGAACCGTTTAATTACAGCTCATCTTAACTTCTCTCAACTACAACAGCTCTAATGTAAGAAACACAACAAGTAACTGGTTTTCTCCAGGCACCGCAGTGAATAAACACATGAGAATAAGTGTCGAAGTACCAGGGCTGTAGCTGTGCTCCGACATGCTCTCCTCCTCCTCATCTTCTGTTACATACGCTCGATCGCACACCTTCACAGGTGTCCCCTTCCTTTTTCTCCCACACACACGGCTGCAAACACAAAAAGCCATTGTTTATCACCGTTACATAGAGCCATGCTTAAACCCCCATTTCTGCAGAGAAAAATAACTAAAGTAAAACAACTTGCTGCAAAGCCAGCGTAGATTTCAAACAGTTTGTTTGTTGTTTTACTTGGATGCTGCATCTAAACAAGGATATGAACTGCTCATCACTCACCACCAAAAGGCCAAGGTGGGCAATTAGATTTTTGCCGGTGTCTGTATGAATTAAGTTTGTCTGTTTACAACATATCTCATGAGCCAATAAATACAATTTAAACTAGAGACATGCATTCCTTGCAAAAATGCAGTGTGAATGCTTATTGCTGAAGAACTTGCTGGAAAACAGTTGAAATTAGCTAAAAAAACATATATAAATAAATGCTGAATTATAGCCAAAATGAAAGAACAAGCCTTAATTAGCAAAAAAAAAAAAAAAAAAAGCAGAAAGAACATATTTTTAATGAATTAGATATAAATAAGCACAAATTAAATAAAATAGCTTAAAACAAACCGAAAGTAGCAAATAAATAGCTGAAAAGTAGCTGAAAAGGCAGAAAGAAGCTTAAACTACTAGAAGGAAGTGGAAAGAGCTGAAATGAGCTAAAAAAAATGTGGAATTAGCTGAAAAGGATAAAATTAGCATGAAACAGCTGAATAGTAGCTGAAATAGCAGTAGCAGAAAAAGCCAAAAGTAACATAAAAAAGCTGAAAGGAGAATAACAAGCTGAAATCACCATAAAGAAGTTAATTAGGATGAAAGTGGCAACAAAAATTACATTGAAAACTTGAATTTAACTGAAAACAACCAAAATTAGCTAAAAAAAAAATGCTAAAAATGTAGCTGAAAATGTAAAATAAGCTTAAGTTAGTAGAAAAAAGCAGATAAAAGACATTTGCCCTATTAGGCTGAAAGAAGCAGAAATGAGCACCAAAAAGTGGAAATTATTTGAAAAAAGCTGAAATTAGCATAAAACAGCTAAATAGTAGCTGAAATAGCAGAAAAAGCTGAAATTTATAGAATTAAAATGAAACGAGCATAACAAGCTGAAATTAGCAGAAAAAAATTAGAAGCACAAAAATGTTGTAGCTAGCAGAAAGAATCTGAAAGGAGCACAAAACAGCTGAAAAACCCCAGCTGAAATTAGCTGAACCAGAACACAATATGAAAGGAGCAGTGAAAGGTTGCAAACAGATTTTAAGATTCGAAGGATGTAAAATGAGCTCCGTTCATTTTTAATGGGGGTAAATACGGCGAAAAAGGAGAAAGGAGCCGAAAGAACATTATTCAGAAATAATTACTGAATGCACATCTAAAGTTAATTAACTTTAGGAATAAAGACGATTCAAGATGGCCACCACACTACACATAAATATCCCTCAGGTTTACAGATACCGATGTCAAATTGGGAGTAGCTGAGAGTCATTCATAATACATACTCTGACCAGAGAGTCCGCATTACAATATTTTTTAGATTTGATCAAAATGGATAGATTTTTTTTCCCCTCTATGAAAGTTCAGGAGAATTTTCAACCTTAACCTCCCAGAACCTGACATTCATATATGCAAGAGTTCAGGTCTTAGGAGGTTAAAGGAGCAGGGAAATATGCATTCCATCAAGGTATACTAGGTATTTAACTAGTTTTTATTTTTATTTTTTAACAATAGTGATGAAATAAAGGTTGAATGAATAAAAAATGCTATTAACTTTAAGGCACGGGTGTCCAAAGTGTGGCCTGTGGGTCATTTGCGGCCCTTGGAGTGATCGTGTGCGGCCCACAACTGCGCATTAAGAATGGTATGGTTTTGGCCAGCAGGCTTCTGAAAATTAGTTGGTAATCCTTTTTTTTGTATAATATGTAGGTTCAACAGCAAAATACAAACCTTTGGCTGTAATCGTTTTATTTTCACTTCATGGTACAAAGCACCAGAAAGGAGACTTTTGGATAAGAATTCATAAAACTTAGCTAAATATTGCAGTTGATAAAACAATCAAGAAGTAAACTGGCCATTTCTAATTAATATAACGTGGTATCATCTACATACAAGTTGATCAACTTTATCAAACCTTCTATGAATCTGTTGTAGCGACTGACAGCTGGTCGATTTTTCAGAACTTCGATCAGCATATAAGCTTAGTGTTTATGAGGCTTTTAATGTTTTGGATCTACAACAATTTAAAACTCTTTCTCCACCAAAATGAGTCAACTTTTGTCCTTTCTCCAAAATATTGTTCGTGTTGAGTTAAATTCACATTTTTTGTCGCCCACGAGTCCTTTCATCTGGATGGATTGGGTCCACATATGAAAACATTTGAACACCCCTTGCTTAAGGTGATATCAATTTTCCAAAAAGCACATACTGAGGAATCCTGCACTAGTATTTTTCAATACACCAGGTTGTTGACAATTATTTAAACATATAAACCATTTGATTTCCAAGTTTGAAAGTTTGGGTTTTGAAATTATGCATTGATTTTAACCTAATTACAGCATGATCATATCTGAATGTGTCTGGGTTTGCAAAAATAATTAATTATTCTTTCAGTTGAAACAAAGCAGCAGGGGTGTGATGATGGAGATCTAAGGGCTCTGATTATAAACTGTTAAATCTTTCATTTCGTCACTTAGCTCGTGTAACTGCAATTACAAAAGCCTGATTAGGGCAACAATACAGCCCATTTTCGTTGCACCCGGTGACAGTAAACTGTCTGTTGACGGATGCGTTTTCACTAGTGGTCAGCAACTTTGTTTACTCCGTGCTGAGCAAAAGTCGTGTCAGTTGTCAAGTGACTAGAGCCGAATAAAAGTAATGAGTAACACGTTGAAGAATCTGTGGTCTAAAAGCTCTGATACGCGTGAGTTTATAACCAGGGAGCCCGCTGAGTTTAAAACAGCACAGAATTCCTATGGGGTTTGTGCTAGCGTTCAATGCTAATACAGCTAGCCTGCTAGCTTCCTGCAGCTAGCTGGGACTTCTCCGTCAAAACATCAAAAACAACAGGCGGCTCTTTGAGGCGCGAGGCGGGTTGGTTAGTGAGGCGCAACCCCACAACCCCCACCTGCAAACAGCAGCCAAACAAACAACCCCCACGCTTTTTTTTTTGTTGTTTCTTTTTCTGCAACATCGTCTGAAATCGCGCACGCGAACCCACCAGACTCCTAACGTTTACATAGACGTGCACGCCCTCGGCGCGTGCGTCCCTGGGCTCTGCTGGCACAAATCCCCTGGTGAAAGGACCGGCTCGCGGCGACCGAAAGCCCCGAGGCTCGCCGTGCTCACTCACCTCCGCGGCGGCGGCTTGCTCCCATCCCCGTCGCTGTCGAGGGTTGGAGGCTCCCGGTAGTCGAAAGGCGACCGTACATTCTCCGCCATTAGGACTGCCTTCGCTACCTCTCTCGCGCTCCCGTGGATCGCACACCGCGCATGTGCACAACATCTTCGAGGGGGGTTCCACTGTTAAAATGGGGTGCACCCCCCCCCACCTTCTTAAAATGTGTGGACATATGGAGGCGTTTGTGGAGCTTCCGATTCCTTCAAAACGTTCTGATACAAAGGGGCAGCATTGCGTTAAATCTCTTAATTTGTTCAAATCGTTGACATATTTTCTCTTTAGTGCGGCATGACAGTGATTTAATCAAATTAGTGCCAATTTTCTTGTGGCTGCAACAGGGGCGATTCTAAAATCTGACCTTTAGGGGTGCTTAGCCCCCACTGCTGACATGACTCTTGACTTGAACAAAGTGGTGGCCATTGACATCAGAAGCATTCATATCAGTGTTGCCAGGTGAGAAATGTAGGATTATTGTACTAGAGACATGAAATTATCGTATTTTGCGGGAAATTATCGTACACCCGTCATAACCAAAATAACAAATCTATTAATGCGCTATAGTAGTGATGGGTCCGCTTCCAGACCGGCTCTGCTTCTTCTTCTTTTCTTTTTTCTTTTCCTCACTCATGGGGCGGGCGCAGCGGACTATTCATCCAATCATGGCCGTTGTTCTGAGGCAAACGCAAATACGTCACTGGTAGGTAACATTTTGAAAAGCATCTGTTTGTGGACGCAGATGCCTTCAGGGTTCACAAAAAAACTCGGACAGACAGTTGCGACAGGCAATCAGACAACTGATTACAACCACACATTCACGGAATGGTCAAATTATAGTATATTTGGCCTTTTTTGGGATTATTGATCGTACAGTGGGCAAAATTGTAGTACAAATACGATAATTATCGTACACCTGGCAACACTGATTCATATGAGGGGTCCTCCCCCAGAAAATTTTGAATAAAGTAGATGCCATTTCCTGCATTCGGGTGTATTTTAACAAGTTGTTAAACATCTGTGTTTACTTACATAAGTAAACACTTGATTCAGTAACTATTTTAGAGAGCTTGGCACAACAAGAAGTAGAGCTAAGTTAGTGTGCAATACAGATGCGCTAGCTAAGATGCTACAGACGTAGCGCTCTGCTTTACATTACACAACCTAATAAACGCTTTGTACAAAATTAGTTTAGTGTTAACTGATCATAACAAATAAAAACTAAACTTATGCAACCAGAAGTTACAACATACTGTATCTATATCTACATAAAAAACACACAAAGCATAATTAGCTTCAAGCATTAACCTTTAATTTAACTATTAAGCATACAATGCAATTATGACAGAAAATGGAGGCTTTACCTGCAGTTACCTTTGTACAGATGAACATGTGGTACTTCCTGTTTATCACTGTTGTACTCTGCTGCTCACGAGGTCAGCCGCAAGGCTTTATCCATCTTTTAAAATTTTCCAGACTCCGTTTGGTTTTTGCCATCTAAAGCAGGCCATTCAACTAAACTGCTCAGGGGGCCACAGTTACTGAGAGCCAGCAGCTCAGGGGCCGGACATCCAACAATTAAAGTCATTATGTAAATAAACCAAGTATTACAATGATGTGTTACCTTTTAGATTTGTTTATTTTGTTGCATTGAATCATATAAGCAATAAACAGAACCCAAACCCAG